CGGCAATAACGCAAAATTTGCTTTATTTCACTTTTAAATGGGAAATAATACCAAAATCTGAGTTTTGCTTTATTTCCAACAAAGGTTGGAAATAAAACAAATTTTGCCTTATTTCCTATTGCTTATTTATAGTATTTGTAAAAAAACACAGTTTACTGGAAGGAAAAAGAACTTTGTTTATTCCAAAAATACAATTAAACCAAGGCACATTGAACAGGTAATATCAGTATAGCAGCTGATTTGATTTTTTTCAAATTATTTGTTCTCGAAAATGTCAAATATTTTACATTTCTTCTCACAAAAATTCTAAATTGTTAAAATCTATTTCCATGTGAAACATTTTCCATACAAAACCAGCGATTAAATTAAAAATTAAAAGCTTTTGGAAAGCTCGCCCAACTCAGCAGCACAACCGCTGATTACTGGGCCTGGCACAGGATGGTGGATCAATGCTTCGAGAAGCGAACCAATTTACTAAGAAAGAAAGCTGCAACAATTTTCATTTTTTCAATTTAAATTTTTTACCTTTTTCGTATTTCGCATGGCACGCTTTGATGTAGAAGAAAAAAATCAGAACAGTTTTTGGCACCTTCGATACCAGAAGCAACAACAAAATACAGGCAAATGTTGTTTTTGCTCAAATGCTCTAAACCTGTTTGATAGGCCTTGAATTAAACAAAAAATGTGATATAATTCATATGAAGAAAGTAATATTCACAATTTTTTCTGCATGTTTTTTAATATGTTGTTAGAAACATTGCTGGAAAGCCTTAAAATGTTTGCATGGAACCATGTCGCAATAAACAGATGAAGTAATAAAACGGCTTTCTCGCTTTATTTTCTGACATTCGGCTGCCTTATAGTCACATTTTATAGGCAAATTTTCAAATAAAGCAGTGGCACCTGGTAAATTCCACTATGGGTGGGATGCAGCATGCAATAACACCATACACAATAATTCCCATTACTTGGACATTAAAAAGCAGTTTCAGAAGTGAACTAGTGTTATTTTATCATTTTTCCTTTTTCTAAACGGTTATAATGCCACCAGTATATAATTGTGAAAGCAGGGGAGGGGCGGGGGACGCGAGCGCGACGTCGAAACCGGCGCGGGGCGGCGCGAGAACGCGGACCGCCGCGACGCCGGGCACTTTCAAAATTGAATACTTACAAATCCGTCCATTTAACTTGCTCATGTACTACTTTTTGTCAAATGTAACTGGATGACTACCTACATATGTGCACTAGTTTGCTTTATTACTCAAATTGTTAAGTATAAAAGTTGGTCTTATTGCTCAACGAGAAATGTAATAAAGCAAATTTGTGTTATTTCACATTCAATTGGGAAATAACACAAATTTGCGTTATTGCCGTTTGTGTTATTATACTCCAGCTCTGCATTAGAGGGCCGCTACTGCATCACAGAGGAACATTTTGTAAGTGTGTACTGCCATATAGCACAAATGGACCACATTGTCCAACGATTTTTGCAGAATAGCCAATGAGCTGATAAAAGTTCGTGTGTTGTGTGCTCATTTATGGCTGAGATTCTCTGCTTTTCCCAAAACTGGCGAACAAATCATAAGAAAAGCAGCGGCATCAATACAAAACCACAATATTTCTCCACTGGTGGTACCAATCGCAGGATAACCTCGATAGCCTGATAAAACCATAATGATAAAGCGTGACCATTTTACTCTGGTCTCTGCGTGTGCGATGAGGAGGTCATTTGGTGAGATCGTATACGCTCAACAGCTCCTGTACGTGGCATTATCATGAGTAACATCGATTCAAAGGCTAAATCTCGTTTTAAAAATAAAATAAATAAATTAAAGTATAGAAAATTGTATCATGGTCGAAGAGCAACAGTATCCACAACTGAGTTGCAAGCTGAATTTCAAAGGCGTCATCTGAATCGACTTGAAACAATTGAATTAAATTTAATGAAAAATTATTATATGTGACACGTAAAGTTAAAAAGGATACGGTCAGAAAAAATCGGTTTTCACCTTTTCATCGACTCTTATAGTAAACGGACCACTCTTTCCAATGCAATAAACCGCAGCTTACTAGCTGCATTAGTTTTTCACAATTTCACTTCAAAGTTAGGTACTTTTACAAAAAAAAGTACAAAAAAATCAAATCTGACAAACTATTCTGAAATTAATCAAATTCGCTTGAAACTCGTTATTCGGGGGTTTTCGAACATCGGATTCGTAATCACTGACCTCGTTTTCGGTGTCAATGACATTTTTGAGTTTCACATGAATCCGAACAAATTTTAAATTTGTTCCGCCATATTGGATCCGCCATTTTGAATTTTTAAAAACCAAGATTGGATTCATAATCAGCGACACCAAAAACCCCCGGGTAACGAGTTTCAAGCGATTCCGATCAATTAAAAGTCATCCGCCATTTTGAATTTTGGAAAACTAACATCGGACTCGTAATGAGCGACCCCGAAAACCCCCGAGTAACGAGTTTCAATCTATTAAAACGTTCAGAAGCATCAAAATCAACTTGGTAAACTTCAAAGTCGTTTTTCTCGAAATCTTTTTTTCTGAGCGTAGGTCCCTTTTAACTTTACGTGTCACATATGATGTTATAATGCAAGCAAAGGGTTGACACTGTTTATCTTCAATTGCTAAAGTTTACGCGTTCACGTACAGGATCTTCAATTAGACAGAATAGCATCATCGTCGAATTTTCTAATTCTTTTAGAGACGCGGGTGCATAATCTCGCTCTGAGTTATATTCGGAGACAGAGACACGAACTAATTAAACAGGCGTCATTTTAAATACTGGATGTTTATGGTTCCATTGCAAAAATTTATTAAATATATCTTTGTTCGTATGGAATAGTAGCTTATGTCGGGAAGCTAGCTTTAGTATAATGCGGCATTCCCTTTACTCTTTAAATGATAAGGAATTTTTTGATGAGGTTTAATAAGAATATTGACTTGCTGGTATCGGAACTTTTTCTTGCACGTTTATTTGCCAAAAGTTCTTCAACGGCTCGGCACCAGTGAGTCATTCGAATCGTATGCTGCGAATGCTGTATTATATAAAGTCAGCCTTTCGACATAAGCTACTATTCCATACGAACACAGATATACTCAAAGTCAGGACAAAAAATCGAAAAGTTCACCTTGCACTTCTAGCGGAAAAAACTTGGTGATTGAAGGGGTTGAAAGAAGTGAGGTAAAATGAGCTGGTTTATTGTGGCTGGAATATCAAAGGAACCATAACTATAAAAAAGTGCTTAAAACTTTTCAAATTTTGAGTTTTTGCCAGCTTTAGTGGCCCGCTGCGCCATTGAGCGGTGGTTGTATTTTTATGAAGGGCGACCGCTATAAGAAAAAACTTTATGGTTTCGGAAAATAGTCCAACAATCGAATTTGATATTTTTTTTGTATATTTTGCAAGAGCAGTCAATATTTAAAGAAGTTTCTGTGATATTAATATTTCACACATGATTGTATAGAATTCGCATAAAAAAACTAAACATGAAAAAATTAAACATTTTTTCTATTTTTTAGCACGTGCAAGCTGAAATGCGGCAAGAATGCAAATGCCATGGAATGTCTGGGTCTTGTACGGTAAAGACTTGTTGGATGCGACTTGCAAGTTTCCGTGTAATTGGCGATAATCTAAAAGATCGATTTGATGGCGCTTCTCGCGTTATGATTAGTAATAGTTTACGACAAAATTTAAATTCTGTAACAGGAAATTCGCAAAATTCAAACTCTGTTGTAGTAACTGGCATCGCTTTAAGTCCCAATACAGCAAACCCGAAGGCTTTTGCCGCTGATCGTGTGTTAAGTGACCATATACCTGGGCGCATAATAAAATCACATCCAAATATTCCTCCACTGAACTCATTAAGCAGCCAAAACAGTTTGTCCAGAAATTCAGTACGAAGTCGAGGAAGTCGAGGAAGACAAGGAAAAAAGAATAACAGGTTAGTATTTCTGCGAGCATACTTTTTTCAGTAAGCTCAGTTTGTGCCTCACACGAAAACGGCAGATATCTGAGATACTCGCTATTTATTTATAAATAAATTTTTGATTTTTGGAGAGTAATCCCTACTATAGGTATTACTTTACTGATTATTGTGTATTAAAAAAAAGTCTGCTAATCGACATATTTGACTCAAACCGTGCCATTTTTGTCCCTATTTTTGTTCAACTTGCACTTATCCTTTCAACTTGGCACAAAGTGCCAAAATGGCACTTTTGAAAAATAGTAATATTTCAAGAATTTTCTAATTCCCAAAGTTTATACAGCAGGTTTATCTTATTTTAGCAGTGCACTTTTATTTTAGAAATGTGGTTCTTATTTTATTGCTAAATGGGAAGCATGAAAACTAGTGGCACCTTGTTTGGCACTTTTATTTTTCTATTTGGCACATTTTGGCACTTTTTTATCCTTACCTAATATCTAAAGATAGTTGGCAGTAACGACTCCGGCTAAATGAAGCAACTGGTTGAATGATACGTAGTTAAAGGACAATAAGGGTTTGGAAAATTGTACTAAATCGAAAGTCTCACTACCACTAAGCCTCTACACAGTGAGCCTCAAGCAGTTTTAGGGTTTTTTTTTTTTTAAATGGGGCTCCGTTTGGCAAGCGAGAGCTTGTTTTTAAATTGAATGTGGAAAAATCGTAAAAACAAAAATCACAGCGGATCCTTTTTTTTGAGATATAGCCATATAAAAAATGTTTCCTCGTAAAGCGGCTCAAAGATTATTTCATACAGCTTCAATTCAACTGTTTAGATAATAATAACATGAAAAATAGTCACAATTGAGAAAAATGTAATGTTAGTATTTAGTTAAATACTTTGCTTAAATAGTAAGCAGCCCAGTATTCGCAGAAATACCTTCTCACACACGCAAATGAACGAAATGCAGAAACATTAACAAATTCTTACGTGATGATGAACTGGACCCATTGCTTTTATTTGTATTTTGCTATTTATATATATTTTTGTTTAATTTTCTTTATTTTTGTATTTTTTTGTATTTCTATATTTTTTAAATGTGCTTAGATGAGAACTCAACCACTGCTTTTTTTATCTCACCAAGTAAGTCGGATTTTCAATAACATTAATTTTATATCTTTCCCAAAATTTGAGAAATTCTCTGTGAATTGATTCACCAGATTGTTCCAACCATAATCCTAAACCTTGATTTTCTAAGAAGTTCAAACAATCTTGCCCGGACTAACTATAACAAGTATGAAAGCATACAGTAAAAATATCTTACATTTACTCCCCATCTAGTAAAACGATAAATTAATTAATGTTCAATTCAACAATTTTTATTGAGCTTGAGGCCGTTTTTAATGGAAAGCTCATTGTGGAAAAGCAACAATAATTTGAAAAAATGGTAGAAGTGATAGCTATTTCGAAAATCATCACATTTCCTCATCAGACCNGTGTTAAGTGACCATATACCTGGGCGCATAATAAAATCACATCCAAATATTCCTCCACTGAACTCATTAAGCAGCCAAAACAGTTTGTCCAGAAATTCAGTACGAAGTCGAGGAAGTCGAGGAAGACAAGGAAAAAAGAATAACAGGTTAGTATTTCTGCGAGCATACTTTTTTCAGTAAGCTCAGTTTGTGCCTCACACGAAAACGGCAGATATCTGAGATACTCGCTATTTATTTATAAATAAATTTTTGATTTTTGGAGAGTAATCCCTACTATAGGTATTACTTTACTGATTATTGTGTATTAAAAAAAAGTCTGCTAATCGACATATTTGACTCAAACCGTGCCATTTTTGTCCCTATTTTTGTTCAACTTGCACTTATCCTTTCAACTTGGCACAAAGTGCCAAAATGGCACTTTTGAAAAATAGTAATATTTCAAGAATTTTCTAATTCCCAAAGTTTATACAGCAGGTTTATCTTATTTTAGCAGTGCACTTTTATTTTAGAAATGTGGTTCTTATTTTATTGCTAAATGGGAAGCATGAAAACTAGTGGCACCTTGTTTGGCACTTTTATTTTTCTATTTGGCACATTTTGGCACTTTTTTATCCTTACCTAATATCTAAAGATAGTTGGCAGTAACGACTCCGGCTAAATGAAGCAACTGGTTGAATGATACGTAGTTAAAGGACAATAAGGGTTTGGAAAATTGTACTAAATCGAAAGTCTCACTACCACTAAGCCTCTACACAGTGAGCCTCAAGCAGTTTTAGGGTTTTTTTTTTTTT